TCACTAGGTTTATTAACAAATCAGGGCCCTAATCACAAATGTTGTCTCCAATCCCCGTGCGGGTTGTAAAAGAGGTATTATTTACATTTTATTCTGACGTCTTCAACGATCTCTCCACAATGAATGTTTTTATTTCTATATTCTTCAACTTGAATAACATGTTCCTGTGATTTTGTTAGGTGAACAATTGACTTGCCTTTACATGTGTTTGTGACGGTTGTCACCGGTGCGACTGTATACACTCACCTTTTCGAGAACACCTGGTATCATCACTCTTTGATAGTGATTCATAGTGAGTGAGTGAGTATGGTTTTACGCCGCTTTTAGCATTATTCCAGCAATATCACGGCGGGGGACACCAGAAATGGGCTTCACACATTGTACCCATGTCGGGAATCGAACCCGGGTCTTCGGCATGACGAGCGAACGCTTTAATCACAAGGCTACCCGACCGCCCCGATAGTGATTCATAAACACATGTTTATGATACATTGGGAATCGGACAATGGAAACTCCTTGTAATACAGATTTCGTACAATTACGGAAAGGGGGTTTGCCACTTTTATTTACGTGCGGCTGTGACTTATTTATTATATTATTCCAGCCTTGCAGTTTGGCTCATTGTCCATAGCTCCAGTTTGACTTAAACTCGTCAAAAATGTCCAATCACTAATATCTGCCAAGATGGCTCTTTAGATACAGGTCCTCACACCATTATGGTAACGACAAAAAATCCCCATACAAGCCATTAGTCGTGTGGTTTAACCCTGTAGAACCTGCATTTGCATTTTATTCATTATCGTTGTTATTGACCTAGCTATGAGGATTTGGATAGGGCGGTCAGCTGGCGGAGAGGGACATGATACACAAAGACAGGAAGTCTCATTGAATTCGCACATATGATGTTGTATTGAAGCAATTTGATCAAGGGGACACCTTGTCGGATTGAACTAGACAAGGAGTCCGTTGGGAAACACAAAAGGAGTATCTGATTAATTTTCCTTACGTTCAAAACGCTATGATTGTATGAACAGGTCCACAGAGACGATATACATCAATATAATACGGTAAAGAAGATCATTCAATCGAACGTATTCAAGGAACCATAGTCAGCCGTCAGGACAATTTTCGTCTTCCGATATTTCTTTTAAGACCAATAGTTCTAAATCAACAAATATGAACTTTATAGGTTCCATACATAACATGATACGGATCGGGTGGTCAGGGACGCTGACTTGAATGGTGCATGTCATTGTATCCCAAGTATGTGGATCGATGCTCATGATGTCAATCACTGGATTGTCTGGTCCAGACTCGATTACTTACAGACCGCCGTCGTGTATCATAAACATGTGTTTTTGTTACTATCAAAATGTGATGATACCAGGTGTTCTCGAAAAGGTGAGTGTATACAGTCTCACCGGTGACAACCGTCACAAACACATGCAAAGGCAAGTCAATTGTTCACCTGAAAAAAATCACAGGAACATGTGATTCAAGTTGAAAAATATAGTGATAGAAACATCCTTTGTGGAGAGATCGTCAAAGAAGGCAGAATAAAATGTAATTAATACCTCTTGTATGGCTGGAATATTGCTGAGTGCGGCGTTAAATAACAAACAAACAAAACAACAAAATAAAAACATGTTTTGGACCCTGTAGCATGTATTTATGTGAACACTGCCCAAATAAAAACTGCATCTAACGACGCACGCCATCATGTACTGTTATAAAATTATTTTCGTCAATTCTTTTTCGATTGTGTAATAGCAAATTATTGATGGAATGAAAATGTCAGGTCTCGGTAATGCAACCATCCTTGAAATTAAAAAGAAATGTCTTCATCTTCGACCCATCATGAACGTTTTATCAATCTGGTGGTACGAGAGACGCCGCTGTTTGTCGTGTGGAGTTTTGTACCAAGTCGCGCCACAATCAAGAGATCTTTGGGACTCAAAACCATAACTTTGCTCTTGGGAAACATCAACGACCTGGTCGTTCCTTTTGCATTAAAAGGTATTCAGAGAACGATGACTAGAGGTTGGAGGCCGAAAAGAAACACATGACCTAAATACATAACAATGGAATTCCATTTCTGCACGTGATTCGACTGTTGTACCAACAGGACATTTGTGTAGAAAAATCTAATGACGCTAAAACGCAGACGACTATGTAAGCCTCGTGTTCGGGGTAGAACGACCGTTGATGAATATATGTAAAGCAAATCCTTCTATAATAATGAGAAATGTATGACTCATAATCAAATAGTGATGATATCAGGTGTTCGCGAACACTCAGTTGTTTGCGCACCCGTCACAAACACTCGCAAAAGCAAGTGAATCGATCACCTGAAAAAACACGGAAACATATTGTCCCGGTCAAAATAGGTGATATTATTAGATATTACTTAGAAATGTCCTCAACATGTCTACCATAAAACTTTACTACGGCCATGAATGTTATAACTAACTAAAATTAGATATAAGTCACATAGACATTTCCATAGTCCAACCAAATCTCTGCTAACGGCGGAGTCCATTGTACGATTTTGACTACGTGTTTATTCATCACCATGAAATAGTGATGACACGGTGAGCGCATTCTGAGCGCATTCTGCCCAAACAACTTCTGGACAATTAGTCGAATAACACACTTTGATCGATTGTATCTCAAATGTAAATATATATATATATATATATATATATATATATATATATATATATATGTATGTGTGTGTGTGTGTGTGTGTGTGTGTGTGTGTGTGTGTGTGTGTGTGTGTGTGTGTGTGTGTGTGTGTGTGTGTGTGTTACTCGACCGAAGGGCAACGTCAACATGGAACATGAATCATCCCTCTTGTCATACAGTCTTAAGCCTAAACTGACATCCTGTGAATAACGGTTCTTAGCAGCGTTAAACCACAATCGCCCACACATTCTATATTCTATACAAGTCAGGAAAAAACATGTGTTGAGTGTTTCACATATCTTTAAGTGTGTGTGTGTGTGTGTGTTTTAAAATCTTGTCTTCACATATATCAGATGAAGACGTCACCCTTTCCAAGATGCGCAACTTATTTAGATATCGACCATAATATATTTTTTTCTGCAATGGTTAGTGGGCGACTAAAACTATGAATACAAACCCTTCTGACGTCCATATAGAGATAGGGCGAAAAGGTCAGATCACACAGTCTTCAGTTTCTACTTGCATTTACTGACTTGTTTGATTTGCAAAATTGCCAATCCTCAACATATGGCATGTGTGTAAAGTGTGGTATTTTGGTAAGACTTAAGCAGACCTAAGTCTTACGAATGAAGTCTTCCACAATGGCTTTGGCATTGTTTAGTTTTTTGTTGTTGTTGTTGTTGTTTTGTTTTTGTTTTTTTGTTGTTTTTTTTGTTTTTTTTGGGGGGGGTGGGGGGTCCCGATATCTTAAATTATTTGGAATGTCATAAACGACAACTGTGCCAGGTTAATGCTTTCAGCACAAAGCGCAACATTTCACGAAACGGCTGGACTATAATGTAATGAGCTATTTATTAAGTGTCTGCATACATTTTGCAATTTTAGCTCCCTGTCTGCTTCTCTCTGTTGCGACCGCCTCCGTGGTCTTGTGGTAGAGCGTCCGCCCGGAGAGCGGAAGGTCCAGGGTTCGATCCCGGGCCGCGTCATACAAAAAGACGTTAAAAGATTGTACTTGTTGTTACCCTGTCTGGCGCTCGGCATTTAGGGGCTAAAACAAGGACTGGTCGGCTCGGAGTCAGTATACTGTGTCTGAGTGGGGTATTCATGTTAAACTGCGGCATGGTATCTCAGTGAGCTAGCACTATAAATCGGCATCAGTCCGGACTAGTACAAGCAGCCACACACACACATACACGGGCATGCACGTCGCTATATAAGTGCAATAATCTTGGACGCGACGTTAAACCCAATTTCACCTCACCTCACCTCACCTCTCTCTGTTGCAATGGTACCATGGGATGTCGAGTGTGAAATTCGATTATGCTGTAAGAGCTGTATATGTTATATGTTCTTCCGTGAGATTTATAGTTGCTTTAACGATGTTTTAAACAATGTCGGTGTATCCGTTATTTCACAACATGTCAGCATTATGTTGTATGAAAGCTCAAATTACGAATATCGCAGAAGTTTACCATTGTGATGAAATCTAACAGCGCGTGCCGAAATGCCAAATAACAAACTTGAGACAATCTGGTGAAAAATAGTTATACCAGGACCTGTCATGTATATTTGGCAGAAAAACCCAAGCGACGTAGGTCGCAGAAGGTTGGTGAATCCTTGGCGCGCGTGGAAGTGCTGATAAATCAAATATCACACTCCGGCTCAGTGATGAGTCAACATTGCACCGCCGCCACACGCTAATTTGCATATCGCGTTACCGGATGTCGCTTATATTTGTAAATAAAAGCGCTAAAACCCTTTCCATTATTCTAAGAAATCTGTGTTTATAAATCACTATCAAATAGTGATGATACCATCTCCGCCCGTGTTTTCAAGAACTTTAATACTTTTCAGTCAGTCCAAATCTTTTCAAATTTTGGCTATCGTGCTGAATGAGCATAATGTATCATATGAGTGAGTGAGTGAGTATGGTTTTACGCCGCTTTTAGCAATATTCCAGCAATATCACGGCGGGGGACACCAGAAATGGGCTTCACACATTGTACCCATGTCGGGAATCGAACCCGGGTCTTCGGCGTGACGAGCTAACGCTTTAACCACTAGGCTACCCGACCGCCCGTATCATATGAAACGAATGGGAAACAAAAGCGTGCAGACGACCTGTTTCTTAGTTTTCGTACTCTGTGTGACTGGATGCGTGTTTCTTGAAAGTCATTGACCTGTTTGTTAACCTTTTGTTTATCGTGCTCAATCTTATCAACACAACATAGGGAACTGGTCTAATTTCCTATCGGAAATGAGGTGGTTTATTTACTGGATAGAATAATGAGTATACCACTGTTTCTGACATTCAGAGAGAGGGTTGCACTGAGACTACCAAAAACAAGCAAGGAGACGTATCCAAGTCTTGGCTAGCTTCTGGATGAATCACTGCCACGGTAAGTTCCATTCTTCTTTCAGTAGTCAACAAAATCTATATTAAGTGCCCAGTGTGTCAGTAGGCGAGGTGGGGTAGGCTAGTGGTTAGAGTTCGCTTGACACACCAAAGGCCCGGGTTTGATTCCCCACATGGATACAATACCTGAAACTCATTTCTGATGTCGCCCTCCGTGATATTTCTGCAATGTTGCTTATATCTGTGTAAAACCATATTCACTCAATCACTCAATACGTCAATATACTTCTTGCTTTGTTTAACGAAGATTTGTCTTCAACAAGATGGATCTGTACATCGGGGTCTGGACATTGGTTTTACCATGTCGTCATCATCACCTATGTGTGTTCTGCAGCATAGGGTTACGGGCGGCCCAATCGTGTAAGGCGCCATGTTTCGTTGTGCATAGTTGCGTCGCTTTGGCGTGCCAGGAACCAGTTAAGACCCGTATCACTTAAGTGTTTTCCAGTTGCCTAGTTCGCTGTGCAGAGTTGTGGAAAGTGGTAAAGGACCGATAATTTGATATTCGATGGTGTGTGTGTGTGTGTGTTGGTGAGTGTGTGATTTCATCATATATATATGATCCACTTATTGAATTATTACTATATATATATATTGTGTATATAGTAATAATTCAATAAGTGGAGTAAGATTGAACACATTTTTAATAGGCTAGCGCTTTCAACTCGTACCACGTACATGTACGAGTCTCATCAGGCCATAACTGAATAACGGGCATGAAGTAGTAACATATAGTTACGTGACGTCATAACATTTAGGAAAACTATGACGTCACAATACCAAGGTGACAATGGACAAATAACTTACGCCTTTACATTTTACTTATTATTTATGAATGAAATGTTGCTCTTTTTGAAACAATGTAGGTTCATGATCATGTGTGTGTGTGTGTGTGTGTGTGTGTGTGTGTGTGTGTGTGTGTGTGTGTGTGTGTGTATATATATATATATATATATCGTCATCAAATATTTGCAATTTAAAAAACATGACACACGTATTTAGAAAAAGGGGCGGTGGGGTAGCCTAACTGATATAGACGTCACTTCTCACTTGTCCACATGGTACGAATCTAGAAGCTAATTTTCTGGCGCCCCTCAGCGACGTGATACTGTTTGAGCATTAAAGTCAGCTAAAAACTTAACTTACTCACTGTAATGTTACGACGCCATGTCCACCGTTATTCGTTATCCTAATGTTATCAAATATAACTGTATACATGAGTGAGTGAGTGAGTATGGTTTTACGCCGCTTTTAGCAATATTCCAGCAATATCACGGCGGGGGACACCAGAAATGGGCTTCATACATTGTACCCATGTCGGGAATCTAACCCGGGTCGTCGGCGTGACGAGCGAACGCTTTAACCACTAGGCTACCCGACTGCTCCCTGTATACATGAAGCTGACAACTCAAAACCTACCTGCCAACTATCGTTACCAGAAAGTTATTTCTCATCCTTAAGACCTATGTGTTTCAGATTCTCGCCGATGCTTCATCTTTTGTCCTTGAAATAGATCATCTATTTATACAAATAAGAAAACATTTCATCTCATGAAAAGGCTTCATAAAGATGTTTGTAATTTCAGAATGTCAGGGTAATGGTATACAACAAAGTTCTCAAATACATTTAACATTTAAACTTAAAACATTCTGACGCGAGATAGCATGTAAACATCGTGATAAGTATTTTGATTATTCGTATATTGTAACTTTTCATGTAAATGTCGCACTAAAACGTATACAGTTACAACCTATTGGTCTATTGTTCTACAACCTTGTACCGGCTTCTTCAGAATCAATAGTTGATACTGTCTCGCGTACTTATCAAGTAATGTGGCATTCAGTTTACAGAATGCCAAGACGCAAAATACACCTTCTTTTGGTATGGCTTTCCTAGGCACACTGCAATATAAACACAGCTATATTCCTAATCTGTGGGTTTAACGAACCCTAAGTTTTGTCTAAATAACCACTTAAGGCAGGCAATTCTCAGACCTTGAGCAATAACGCATCATGCGTCGTAACATTAGAGTTGTGTGCGTGTTAGCGGGTCATCCGAACGCCACATTAGCACATATACAGTGTTATCCCAATACGGGTTGCAAAAACAAATCCAATGATTGTTGAATTCGCACTAAGAGATTTTGTTTCTGTCCACAGGCATTTTGGAGAAAATCCAATCAAGCTAATTCCTGTTTGATACTACGAGTGAATATTCCCATTACTACTCGCTATCGACTGACGACTTGAGCCTCATTACTAGCGAGCTACTGCATTAGCTCTTCCACGACTCGAAACAGCTTGGAGGGATCCCTGACGGAGCGAAAACCAATCAGAATGACTGTCGTATGATCGGCTTCTCCGTATCTATGGTAACGTAAAGGAACTTCCCAGCAAGCTTCTCTCGTGATATTCTACTGGCTGTGACAAGATATATTTAAGTTCGAGTACACACCAACCGTTCAGATGGCAGTTTGGCCACATCAAGGTAAAGAACCCCCTCTGAAGCTTAACTTTAGCAAAGAGCTTGCTCTCCACAGAAAACTGAAAATGAATGCGTTGGTAGGAGACGGTTCATATAGTGGTATTGTACCATATGAAAATAAACGCAGGGGAACTTGGAAAAACTTTGTCATACTGTGCTTATCAACCTTTTTAAGTTTCGTGGCAGTGTTTCCTTCTCGGAATCTTCAAACAAGTATACACAGTTCGTACCGAATGGGAACAATATCTTTATGTGCTTTGTACGGATTCTATATCATCGGGTGTCTCACATCAAACATCTGCATCCAGCATTTCCGGGCCAAATGCCTTCTGTTGGTAGCGTTAATCTTTCACGTGTTATATTCAGTGTCCAATGTCATCCCTTCCATGTACACTCTTATCCCAGCATCATGTTTACTGGGTCTGTGTCAGCCGCTTTTCTGGAGCATCCAGGAGATCACTCTTCTTGGATACGCTTTAAACTACTCGGCCTTCTCCAACATAAACCTGGATAGCTCCCTCCGTCTTTTCCAGACCCTAATAGTGATAACTGTCCACTCGGCCCAAATCCTCGGGAACCTTCTAAGTTCTGGTCTACTTTCCCTATCCGATGTTGACTGTGCTGATATCTGGTCTAATGGATATACCAATGGAACGGAACTACAAGAAGTTGGAGCATTTGCTAAATCAGAACGATGGACATACACTTTACCCCTCATCCCTGTACTGACACGGAAACTCTCTGACCACCCGGGACCCATCAACTACTACCAGTTTCTGACAGTCCTCTACCTCTGTCTTGGGGTAGTGGCGATGGGAGGGGTCCTGATATTCTTTGAGAGCCCCGATATACTTCTCAAGAGGCGGTCTGGCACATGGAAAGAAAAGATTACAGAAGTAAAGGATACGGTGTGTGATGCCAAAGCATTTCTTGCAGGATTTGCTGCCATATTCACTGGATACATTCAAGGAGTCATCATCGCGGATATATTGAAGGTAGAATCTTGTTTTTATTGATGTTGTATATAATTGGATATGGCTCACATGATATGATGTGTTGGGTTGAATATTATATCGTATTCAACGATATCTTTTTGCAGTTTCTAAATCCAATGTACAAATACATAATTTAAAGAGCATTTAGAAATGCTTACGCAGAATACACGGATCAATACGAAGGTGTAAATGACATATCAGGTTTAATTTGACATTTTACATGTGTTTCCCGTAAATGTGAGTTCCAGGGTCCCGTTCCACAAAGCGATCTTAGCGCTACGACTGCTGTAAGTCTATGTTAAAGTATGGGAGTTACGATTCACTTGGCGCTAAGATCTCTTTGTGGAACGGGGCCCTGGTTACACTTTTTATACCCCCAAAACATTTTAATAAACAACAATCAACATATCACCAAACATATATATAACGTATCTTAGAATATGGCATTGTTCACTAACAGATTCATTTCAAATCACAGGAATAAATCATTGTTACAATTTTCATAGAAAGTTACTGGCTGGAAAAAGTTATTGGTACATGTTTAATTTAAAATGTACATTCTTTAATACGTGTGAAGACGAATACTGCTAAGTACTTCATGATGCTAGTAACAAAATCAATTATTTTAGTTTGGGGTGACACAAGTTGAGTAGGAGGTGTACAGCAATCGTGCTAGTAAACAACGAAACACCTGCTTCAAACATTCAACACCAAGCCTACTTTCATCACAAGGTATTATTTCAAATTGATAACGTTTTTCTCGCACTCCAGCTAGGTATACACGTCAGGTCTTACGGAACTTAGTGAGTATGTAGATTAGAGGAATCCCTGGAGGCTTAGAGAGAAATCACAATTGATCTCCGTTCTTTTCATCCCCATCTTGACTGGGGTGTTCAGTTCTCTGTTTGAAAAAAACCCGTCTGTAGCTCTTTTAAACAAGACTTGAGACTTTCTTGACCTTCAAAATACAAATAACGGATCGATTCAGCAAAACATGTGATTTAAAACAGTTTTTATCATTGGTAGGGCTTTTAGGAGCAATTCAAGGCACAAAATTAACTCCTAAAGAAATGATAGCACAACGTTGTATTGGACTGTCATGATGAAGTGGGGAAATTTTAAGATGGATACTTGTTCTTTTGGCTATGCCGTTTCGTTATTGAACCTTTCATTTATTCGGATACTCGGAGAGTGATGCCAATAGTGAAGAGGAAGACACATTTCTGAGATTGACGTACGCAAAAGAAAAATATTACATTACAAAGATTCCTTAGCCTTATAGTTTTAGTTTATTAATTGATAGTATTTCATAACAAATATTCCAACATACAAACTGTACAGACAGTGTGTTGTTTTCGATATTGGTATCATCATATTATAGTGATCACGTAAAACCTTCAAAAACTGTCATTAATATTTGGTCATCTATTCTGAGCTGGTCACACATAGTCTGCATTGTACCGATCCCTGAAGACATTGGTGTTGTATTACGAGCGATAATATTTCGTAATAACGTGTTTGCAAAAGCCCTAGGATGTTCTATATATTATTAATTGCAAGGCCTGCCCTTGTCTTATCTTTTAAAGTGAGTTTAACCTCGCTTGAGATGTACAAGGTGACTATCTTAGATGCATTTTCAGGACAGTTTAATCGGTTTTCGTTGTTCAGAATTTGGCATCTTACTAAAAGGTCCTAAATTTTGGCAATCTTACTAAAAGGTCTAAAAATATCCATCGTATCTGCATTTGCTACCACATCTATCAGAGCTAAAGTGAACTAAAGCCGTTTCTTCATTACTCAACAGACCAGGTGGAATGAACAAGCAATGTGCACGTGGCTCATCACATCAGAGGTTCCCAATACACTACAGTGTAATTTCCCCAGAACAGACAACATGCTCATCTGAATAAGCATACACTGCTATTTCAACGTTTTTCGCCTTCTTCAGAAATCTATAACTTCCTAACGTCTCTGGTGCTTTAAGCTCTTAATACCATGTGAATAGTCTTCATTTAACAAAATCAGTAAACGAGCTATCGTTTCACTGGATTGCCTGGACGAGACGAGATTGTTTACAGACCGACGTATCGAATGAGTATTGCTGTGCAACAAACAAACACTTACTTCTGAAAGCAAAGTGTGTGAGAGGCGGGTGCTCTCGGTAGAACAAAACATCCAGACTCTTCTCGCGAACACCTGGTGTCTTCGCTTAGTTTCAGTGGTCCATTCATATGATTTTCACCACTATTTTGCCTTTTACGAATTATGGATTTTGAATCGGGAGATGGACGATGCAGATTGTCCTCTGGCTTTGACGTTTTGTATTTAAAGTAGATCTTCTTCACCTGATTCTATAATACCCATACAAACGCTTTCTTCTTATTTACTACTGTATATGCAACTTTAATTCCTCGCATGTGTTCGTCATTCGACTTGTTAATTCACGTAGATGGTCTTCTGCTGAATCAGCTCTGCCTGTTCTACTTCTGACACTTTAATTTCATGTTCTTCATTCGAATCCTTAGTTCCCGTTGATGCTCTTCTACCAACACTATAGGCCACACATATGTGTCCTTCATCTAAATGTATAATTCCCGATATGCTCTTCTACCAACACTATAGGCCACACATATGTGTCCTTCATCGGAATGTATAATTCCCGTAGATGCTCTTCTGCTAACACTATAGGCCACACATATGTGTCCTTCATCTGAAAGTATACCTCCCGTAGATGCTCTTCTACCAACACTATAGGCCATACATATGTGTACTTCATCTGAAAGTAAAATTCCCGTAGATGCTCTCCTACTAACACTATAGGCCATACATATGTGTCCTTCACCTAAAAGAAAAATTCCCGTAGATGCTCTCCTACTAACACTATAGGCCACTCATATGTGTCCTTCATCTGAATGTTTAATTTCCGTAGAGCGTTTTCTTTTGACTAATTAATTCCCATTATAGTTCTTCATCTGACAATTTAATTATCATGTGTGGTCTTCATCTGACGGGCGGTCGGGTAGGCTAGTGGGTAAAGCGTTCGCTCGTCACGCTGATGACCCGGGTTCGATTCCCGACATGGGTACAATGTGTGAATCCCATTTCTGGTGTCCCCCGCCGTGATATTGCTAAAATATAGGTACAAACCATGTTCACTCACTCACTCTTCATCTGACTCATTACGTCCACACGTTCTTCATCTGACTTATAAGTTCTCATTTATGTTCTTCATCTGACTTATTTAATTCCCATATACAGTGTTGTCTTTAACTGACTTTAAAAAATCCCACATATATTCTTCATTTGACTCATGCATTCCAATATAGCCTTTTGTGACTCGATCGTGTAATGTTGGTAAAATAAGTTGTGTTACAGACAATGTCTTTACACTGGAATTTGCTCAAAGGTCGCTCCTTCGGTGGTGATATAGATAAGTAATTATTACTTTGGTTGTGAAATGTCGAACAATTAACGAACATCTTTAAGCATTACAATAATCCCTATCTGCAAATTGGAATGTAATCATCTCCTTTTATGTTCTCCATTATACAGCTTTCAAACATATACATGTAAGTATTTTCAAGAACCACCGAAACAAAGTTTAGTAGACAAACCATACTAACCAATCAAGATATTCATTACACTCCTCATTTCCAAAATCTATAGAAACCACAGATGTCATTTAAAGAATATATGTCAGCCTTGGCTCGTAAGAGACCGGTTCTCCGTTAGTAACACACGAGGCTCCTTGATACATCATTTAATTCCAAGGAGAGGTCAGGGATGGGATTAGTGTGCCACACTGTCGCAAGATGATTGCACCGTTGACTATGGTAAATATAAACAGACAATTGGGATCAGTCCCAAAAGTACTCGCGAGGTCTAATTTTGGCTTGGTTCTCTGTCTATATGTGCGTAGGCAACCTGCACACGAAGACTGTAATAAGACACGTAGACAAATGGTCAATTGCTAGATCCATGAATGCTGACCTCTGAGAAACAAATGACTTGGAGCCAATTGTAATTTTCCAATTACTAACTTCAACAGGAACTGAGAGTGGCACACCCTGCTGCTTCGTGTTGGATTATAAGAGAACTTCATGTTTTATAATTATCTTTTGTTATCAAGTTTATTTTTCGAATATGGTTTTAGGGACAATACTGAAGAATCAGATTATAAGAAATAGCTTTAAGGGTGTCTTAAGTTAACGTGAAGCATGGATTTGAATCCTCGTAACGATCCGATTCTGATCCTTGGTTTGTTTGCACGCTATCCGTGGTTGTGGGTTCCGTGGGTTCCTTTGGCTTGTCCTCCCTAAGGAAACTATGGAAACTACACGGTGATTAAACTGAAATAGTGTTCAAACCCCCTTTAAACCCAACTCACATTACATTGTGTTTTGATCATGACGCACTGAAACAATAAGAACCAGGACAAAGCTTGATACCCAACACTTGATCAGTACAGATAAGTACACGCCCACACACAGAGACACAGGCACACACGCACACACAATCTGATGCGCACACGTGCACGTAGCCACGCCATTTTTAAAGCACGCACAAGTTCTTGTCAATGGTAATGTGCCTCTCCTGGGGACTGGTTTGAATATCATGTTCCTTGTCAATCGCCATGCAGTGCCTTGTATTTCTGCTTGGAAAATCTCCACAAAAACCTTTCGTTGATATCCGATAGCTTTGAGAATAATTCCAGTCAGTCTATAATCCTATTTCCCAATTGACATATTGACATGTCATGTTTGGCTTAAACTCCATCGCGTGTTAAGATGATTTTCGTTTGTATGCCACGTCATTAATCACAATGACCTAAATAATTCTATTTTCGCTTTTAAGGTATGAAATCATTGCGAAAACGTTCTTCCACTTGTAGAACCTTGTTATATTTTTCTTTATACACATATAGCATTTGGTGTCATTATCGTTTTCCTATTATTTTATTTCTTTCATATTGGTCGGACCGCCTCTGTGGAGTGGCGCGG